TCGTACCTGATTTTGAGTTCACCAACATCTCCCTCCTCACTGTCCTGACCTATTTCCTCCTCCCGAAGATCAAGAAACTCATCCTCTTCCATAGGTGGCCGGGTTGAAGAGATATTTCTTAGAATGGGGCTTTTATGTTCCTTCTGGCTCAGTTCCAGCTCTGCCTTTGAGGAGCAGTTTCTTAGCTTTGAGTAACAGAAAGAGAAGGTCCTGTGGTTCTGAAGAATGGACAGACAGTTTGTTTCTACATCCTTTATGGTGCCATAATTCTTCCTGCTTTTGGCGACCTTTCCGTTACCAAATGGAAAACCTTCTAGATCTGTCTTATCCAAAGCTATGGAGGTTTTCTTATCATAAGTGTACAGGGGTCGGATGACTTCTTTATCCACGCAGATGGGAGACACCTCAGGGTGATTGGCAATCTTGCAGGGGATAGGGTGCTTGACTGGTGGGATGTAAGGGATTTCTTTATTAACTTTGAACCCCATTGAACATTCACTACTGCTGTCCTGGGTGCTTTTTGATTGAAAGTGCATGTCAAGTGGTTGTTCTGTGTCCAGCACATGAACTGGTCTACGCTCAGGGTGCTTACACTCCACAAGGATCTTAGCTGAGGAAGGTGGCTCCAGGTGGACCGTCTCTCTGGGGAAGGGATTTCTTTTCCCAAGCATCTTTTCTGTGACTATGAGAGAAGACTGGGTCCTGGAGTTGCTATCATTCAAAGATGACTCTAACCATACAACAGAAGAGAGAAGAGGCATCTCATTAACAGTTAACAGATGCAACAAATAAATTAAAATCTCACCACAAGGAGAATATGTACGCAAGGCTATACACTTAGTTGATACACTTTTCACATCTTAATTAGTGGATGTTCAAAGGGCCTTTGTGTTTTCCATACATTTGACATTGTTTGGTTTTATAAAGAGGGACATCAGAAGGGAACCGTATATGTTACAGTAAACCACAATACAAGCAACATCTTTTATCATGTCATAATAAAACGTCTTAGTACAAGGAATGGGTGAGAGCAGTTCTGGCAGTGATATAAATGCACAGTTTCATCAAAACAAAATGCTGAAGCTTTCATAAGAAAGCAAGTGGCACATACACACAAATATAAAGAGTATTAAGTTCTTAAAGAGCCCATGACATGCTTTTCCTTATTATCTGACTTATCTATAATGTTACAATGGTGATTTATCATCTTAAACATGACCCAAAGCTCAAAAATTGAGGTGTGCGTATGTTGTAGTACTTCTATGCAGAAGCAAGTCGGTTTATACAGGTCTTGCAAACTCTTGCTTGTGAGACTTTGTTTTCTAACAAAATTAAGTATAAGGATTTCTTTGAATGGTCATAATTCTCCAGGGCATCGTGTGTTCATCTGAACTTGCCCGACATCCACTGGTTTCCCCACCATATCGGATGTTGTATTGCCTTGTTTGTTATGTGTATTTTCAAGAAAGCTTTAAAAAAAAAAAAAAAAAAAAAAAAAAAAAAAAAAAACACATCCACTGGTGCCATTGTAAAAGTGGAATTTTCGATTGCACCCAGTTTTGTGGCTATATTTTACCTCCTGCTGCTGCCCTGTGACCAGAGGATGTGGAGGAAAATACAGGGCCTGAGGTTACTGCATGTCTGGGAATATTCCTGTACAGGGACTCGCTGTTTTACCTGACCAGGTCTAACCTAAAAAGTAGCCGGCCAGTGAAGCCCCCTGAGGCGGTTAGTGATCAGCTCATCAATGCTGGAATACCCCAGAGCATAGTATCTGTTTGATTTGAGTGCTCGAGGCCTGTTGGAATTAATTTCACTACTTTGGGACTGTATATGGTCCTGTAGGGGAAGACTCAGCAACCACAGGTTGGATTTATCGATCTTGGAGCTACTTGAAAGGGAGTGATGTTTCCACTACTTGGTGGCACGTAACAGTAAGTTAAAAAGAAAAAAACATGTTGCATGTCTGTTAATGCCTTGTTTAAGTTACTGTGTCTGCATCAGTGGTTGTGTTTAGGATTCAGATTTCAACACAACACCAGCAGCAGGAGTTGTGCGTGTTCACAAACTATCCTCTTGTTTATAGAAGAGGATCTCTGGTTTTATCATTCTGAAATAATTACAGACTATTTGGAGTTATGAGGGGTGCAAAGCTAATCTCGAGGTACCCAATATTAAACATTAAACAGCTGGAAATGAGCAAAATGAGCAGCCATGGGCATTTTAACTTCCACCACTTCCACCCCCACTCCAAGATCTGCCATGGCAATCACTGCAAAATTCATTAAGAGATAGCTGAAACTATCCTGAACTCCAGGAAAGTCTTGTAATATATTATATCACATCACATCTCTCTCATAACAAAATCAGATAATACAGCTAAAACCTGGTGTCGACCCAAATTTCTATTAAGCAGCTTCTGTTAGCTCTGTATTGATATCCTTCATCAAAC